AACATGACCAAAAGAATGAACGAAACTGAGTAATAAGTGTGTGATTAACTGTACAATATCAAATTCTTAGGCTGCTTTCCCTTTTACGCTTTTGTTTGGAAAGACGGAAGCCATTACGATCAATTCCAATATTTTGCAGTATTTTGATTGATTGGAAATGTACAGTCTAGCCACTAATCCCTTTCTTTTATTGGATTTTGCTGGATTCGCAAAGCTTTCCATAGAGTACATGGAATCAGAGAGTTATGTTGTAAACATGTGCTATCAGTGCTCGGGATTTTTGAAGAATTTAGTATTCGATTACTTGAACTTGGATTTGATCAAAAATATTTGAATATTTGAACATTGACAATGAGGTAACAAAATATAAATATAATGAATATTCGAGGTAGCTGACTACTTCAATATTTGACTGATTTTTAAAAAAAATAGGGCTAATATCCCCAAATGAACTATTTGAGGGGTTAGTATAATAGATCAAATATTGTTACACTGACATGTTTGAAATATTGTGTTCAAAAATGCTGGAAAAACCTTTTTTTTTAAACAGTCAAGTAGTCTGGTTCCCTGACTCCACTAAAGATAAAATGGATCAATTTATAGATACAGTACCAGAAAATTGTAAGGTAAGGGGATCCAGTCTAGCTGGCCTGCACCTGTTCATGAACATGTAGGCAATAGCAAACAAAATTTGGACTGAAAAAGGGTAAATTTGGAGCAGGAGTCGAAAAATAGTTAGGTTATAAATGTATACAAAAATACAATTTTCTTGAAAATGACTTGACACCAGGTGCCATAATTTTACAGGTTGCTTTAGACTGTCATTTACCAACATCCTAGTAAGGTTTTTTGTAAAAACTTGGTAGTTTTATTTTTCGATGTTTGCAAATGTTGTATATTCCCTTTAACACTTGGCCTAATGACTGAATTGGGTATATATATCTAAAGACAGTTTATTGACATAATATTGCCGATCGAGTGACCCAATTCAACTTGTACATGATCCTCATTGTCTGCTTATCTCCTGGAAATCTTGACTAATAAAATATCCTGGTGGTGAAACTGGACAGGCGTCTGGTTTCCCCTAAGCTGTTGCCGAAGCCGAGGAAAGTAATGTACATCTGGGCTTGCGGGAAATAAATAAATCAGTCCAACGTATCCAAGGAACTTGGGGAACTTGTGAAACCAAACCCCATGGGAAAAAATTAATTTATGTACGATGAGTTCCTTGTTTCCTGCAAGTCAGACATATGTGTTGTGTTTGTGTCGTCTGCGATTAAAAAAAGGAACTCAGAGTGAAAATCAAAAATAGATACTACACCCACAGTTTGAGGACTGCTTTTCAGGGGAAAAAAATTATAATCTGGCAACAAGAAAAAAATGACTGTTTGCAGAAGAGCATGAACTGTGACCAGTTTCACAAAGTATCCATAAGCATGGCACACAATTCCACTGTAACATGGTGTTCTGAACTTACGGTTGCCATTCTGCGCGTATGCGTTTACAGTTCTTGCTCAGAAATTCTGCGCTAACCCTGTAAGAACAGAATCCTTAACCTCAGGACGTATGCATTTAAAAAGCACAAACCTTTTCCTGTCTACCCCTGAAATACACTTAGGTACACTTACCACGGACATCAAATTTTCCGTTAAAGTTTGTGAAGATTTTCTGCTCACGATAACGCCATGAAATTTTACCGTTTTGATGGGAATATTGGAAAATGTATTTGCCTAAATTGCTGCAATACAAACTCATCTTGGGGACAATGCATGAACACGTCAACACGATCTGGTGTACAAGATAACAACATGCAGGTGTACCTCAAAGTCAAAGCCTTCTGTTATATCCGCTTTCGAAGGCTTCCGTCCGAGGGTCTTAGGCCTGGGCAAGCGAGGCTTGGGCGGCCTGGTCTTGGGCTTGGGCAACTTGGAAGCCGAGTCTTCACTGTCGTGGGCGGCACCGTTCTTTTCAGACGGGTCGCTAGCAACAGCGCACTCTACTGCATCATCATGATCAGACATTTTTCTCTTTCAAAAATCTCAGAAACTACATCCAGTTTAACACAGAGGTTGGTGATATTCCTTGGTAAAACTAAGCTATCCCGAAATGTGGGAAGACGATGGATTTATTTCCAAAAGTTATGGGCACAGCCAGACGATCCGGTATCTAAACCATGTACTGGTACAATGAATCACCTCAAAATTTGCTACATGTATATGCTGGCTTGCTTGACCTACTGTCTGGGAGGCTAACCCACATGTTCCTTATTTGGAGATATTTTGGTGAAATGGTGGAAATGGCTAATTAGGAGTCTTCATGATCATATCTACACGGCACATATTTTGTATGTGGCACTTGAGATCATGCACCTGGTTAAGATACAGAGTACAATCTACCCACGGATACATGTACATGAGTAATTGTAGTTGTTTGGACACTTTGAGTTTAATCTAATTTCCTTGCTTCTCGATGATAAGTGCATAAACACACCACATGGATTGCGGTCAGTATAAAGACACGGAAAGATTTCCAAATACGAAGTTCACTAATTTTCCTCTGTATTGACTAACAAGCCCCCAGATAGCAATTTCATGTCATCAAAGTCAATTTGAGCAGTGAGAAAATACAAGCATTTTCTTAGAAAACACTTAGAATTTTTCAGTCCAATCTCATAGGGTTTGTACACAGGTGTTGATGAAACTTCGTATCTGGAAATCTTTCCCACACCACATGGATTGCTGTCGGTATAAAGACACAAATATTGTAAAAACCTGAAAAATACTAAAAGCACAATCCCTATTGCACATGGTAATGTGTAGCCGAAAAACGGGAGTAGTACCGTATGTATTTTTCCATACTGTACATGTACAGTCTTTTTATAATTCAAAATTTTTGTATAGTGTCAAGCATGGGCAGTGTTACGGAGAGGAATCAACTGTTAAACAGTCAATGAGGAAAGTATGTCAATAAAAGTCTGTCTACTGCTGCACGAACTTCCTTGTATTTCTCTTAACCCAAATTCCCTAGGCCTTTTTGCTAGGATGTAGCCTCAACCCGCAAAATCCTCCAACTGGCTTCATGGAAAAATAGCTTCAATCCTGCAAATTCCTCCATTATTTCTTGAACATGGTCCGTGGAGGGGTGACCACTGCCTGAATCATGCAAAATCCTGGGGCATGACTGTCAATATGTTGAGGCTTGGCCAGTGACATCCTGGTGCAGTTCGGAGGATTTCAAGCATAATCCAAGCCTAAATCGATGCATGGCTGAGCAGCCCAAGACCTTGACAAAGTGCATCCTACGAAATCACTAACACACTTTTGCCACGTAACCTCAATCCTCCAAATTCCTCCACTTTGATAAAGAGGATTTTGAAGGATTCAGGGCGGTTAGGGTTAAAATGCAGTAGTCTACATCTTAGGCCAGAAAAAAAATAAAATAGTTTTGTTGTCCGGGTTTTTTGAAAACTAAAGAAGGCAGGCACCCCCCCCCCCCCCTTCAATATGGTGAATTTTCCAAGATGGTGGTTTTTCCAAAATGGTGGATGACTTTTTTGTTGATACAAAAATTGGTCCAAAAGAGCCATAAACCTTTCTACATACCAGTAGCTACAATAAATAAAAACACAATAGTGATATGGACTATGTAAGACTTAAAACAAAAATTTAAAAGAGGAGGGCCAGGAATAAAGGAACCAGACGGGGCCGAGAAATAGTTTATTTTGTTTACTTGGCCTTATTTCAATTTTTTTAATTTCACATTGTGGATATTTGTTACATCAATTGACGGTAATAATAAGAATTTTGGACCTAAATAATTACTTATTCTAGTAATATTGTTAACAGGCCTACCCATAAATATCCAGCAGTAAATTACACAGTGACATAACTGACATTAGACCTTAAAGTTTTACTAAGAATAAGATTGAGTTGGCCTAGTTTCATGATCCTAAGTAAATAAAAGTTAAATAGAAATGGCATTCATTTGATAATTTCGTTGAGCTTAAGGGCAGGGTCAAACATCAATTTTAAAGAATTCAATTCGTCCCCAGGGTGTCGAGCAGAACGCGCCCACCACTACCTGCTCTCTCATCCTGGTATTGGGTCATTTGCATACATGTGCAAGATTTTTGAACACGTATGCAAATGAGGAATAGTCTGGTGCCTGCATGTGTGTTTGTTTTTGTATGCGGTGTCTGGGATAAAAACAGAATCAATTCCTCGCGCCGTGAGTTATGAAAACACATTTTTTTTTTTTGAAAGTTTAAATGTTACAATCTGGCCCGCCAATATGTAGTATGACATTTCATATTAATATGAGCAAACTGGAAAGGAGAGGAGTAATTTTGAGGAGTGGACATTAAAATACAATTCAGCTTTCTGTAAATTCACGCGAGGATAAGATCTTGCATTGCCAAGACATTTGAGGGAAAAAAATTACCTTGACACAACAACAAACGTATGAGCTAATCTTTTGATTATCTGAGGTCACGCACGGTCATGACGGTACGCAGGTACGGTGCTCCAACCAAGTCATCCTGTCATGTCATGCACGGGTGAAATGGTAGGAGCCAGCTGGGTACCTGTACTGTACAATCTTGTGCATCGAGTGTTTCTACCCAACTCTGGAGGGTGGCTATGTATAGAGCCACATTCACGGGTCTAGAGAAACTCCAGCTCCAACTTCCAAGGGTCATCATGCTCATCGGGAATTCAATATTTAGATGTCAAATCCTGAGGCGATGAACGTTGGAGCAGGAGTTTCTCAAGCCAGGCTTAAGTAGATTCATCAGCAATTTAAAAACACATTATTTACAGAAATTTTACATGTTTCACATTTGGCACGATACTCGGTTCTATGTTGGATTTCTGCTCCAAAAAAAATGAAAGGAAATCCGGCTTGCCATCTGTCCATCTTGTCGGTCCGAAATTTGTCCGGATACTGGGCACACCAATTCACACAAAAAAATGCCATTGATGCCGAATTAATTTATAACTTACCCAGAGCTCCTCTCCCCAATTCATTTTTCGTCAAGATAAGCCAAGTGATTAATATTTCATATCTAACTTCTTCGGTGATATGGGCAAAAATGACATCAACTCAGTAGAAAAATGGTCCTTTTCGGCTGCCAAAAATGTACGTCCACATCACATTTTCGCTCCACCTATGCAGTTTTACATCCGGACGGACCGCATCACATCACATCACACTGTCATAAATGGTGTGGTACCCGCGGCCGGAAATGATACACATGATAATGGGGGCGGTCACCAGTGAATGTGGCATGGGCTGGCTCGTTCTCAGGGGTAATTGCATTGAACTATTCAGGCTTACGCTACTGGTACGAGGACATCTTTTTAACGGGAAGAGTGGGCGTTGCAGTCAGTGCGGCAAAACTCATGCTTTTGGAATTTTTCATTTTTCAATTATTTCATATTTCGTAATCCTGCTCAAGTGACGGTTTTAATAAATTGACGAACACGTGGAATTGCAAATAGACAATTTATAAAGTTGTATGAAAAATTTTCCCCGGCAAGCAAGTTAAAAAAGTGACTTAATTCAGAATTTAATTCTCAGAATATTACCTATACGGGGGAAATTTTTCCCCAAACTTTTGGTAATACAGTACCAAGATTCTAATAGTACTACTAGACTTATGCGTTTGGCCTGGGGCGGATTTAGAGGACAACGTTATTGTATCGTTTGGATAGGCTGGAGTGACACATTTAGTCATTGTTACTAAATTAAAACAACAGCGTAAACCCTCTGAGACACCAGCAACGGACGTTTATGACCTAACCCCCCCCCCCCCCCCCCCCCCCCCCCCCCCACCCCCCCCCCCCATCACCCCCACCCCCATCCCAAGGACCCTGTATAAGCTATGTAGTTCCTTTAGCGCTCAATTGACACCTACTACGCCATCCAATCCCATTTTTTTTATTCATTACCTCCGACAAGGAGGTTATGTTTTTTTTTTATCGGATTTGGTTAGTTTGTTTGTTGGTTGTTTGGTTGTTTTGTTTGTTAACAAGACTATTCAAAAAGATATGAACGGATTTGCATGAAAACCTTTTTAGGGGTGGTCCTTGGTATATTTTTACAAGCACAAATCGATTAGATTTTGGAAGTGATCCGGATCTGGGTATATACGGGTCTGGATCCTGCTCTGAAACGGGTCATTCAGAGGGCCATGTGTGGATACAACCGGCGTACAGTTCTCAGGTCTTCGTCGTCTACTGCACTGACGGCGCGCAATAGCTGACAGAGGGCGCCATTCACATTTTTTGTCTTCATTCCGTGCGCACAAATAACTTCCATTTAGTATGTCATCCTGTTTCCCTCTAGGTATAGTACAAGCTGATTTACCCGATCATAGCTTCGGGTAGGGCGTAGTGTTGGGGATGAAAATTTGGGGAGTTAAATGTAAATGGGGATAAAGTTAAGGAGACATGCAGCTATAGAAAAGCAATTTCTGTGGTGTGATCTGAGGCAATTTCTGGCCACTAAAACCAATTTCAGCAAAAGATCAGCTTTTAAAGTTTTGAGTTTGGAGTAATTGAATCAGCTACATGTATTCTGAGCAATAGAATCATTGTTGCAGGCTACAATTTTTATTCGGGGATGAAAAAGTGGGGGGGGGGGACCAAACAATGTCCCCCGCTTTAAAATGGGGGGGGGGGTCCCTGTCCCCCGTCGATTTACGCACATGATAATTATGTACCATGGCAACTGTCTGTAAATGTTCCCGTTGCTCTATTAAATTGGCATTTTGTGAGGCAGTCGCATTTAGATAACTCTGTAAATTCCAGATAAATTCGTTTTATTCTTGATTCCCATTTTCTTTATCTTCTTTCCTTTATGTAGCACTCCCCGAGTAATCTTTTGAAACTGCCTTGCTTAATGACTATGGGTGACTTTCATTTTTTTAAATCATCGGGGGAGGAGAATCCATAATTATTTTTAATAATCCTTGCTTTGCAAAAAAATACTATCCATTTAAACTAGCAGAGTAACAATAAAATACTGAATATTCATAAGTGCAATGGTAACATACATTTCGTGAGGTGACAGATGGAATGTAGTTCTATCTGTGACCGAATGAAATTACTAATTCCATTTTACGAATATGATACATTCAATTTTATTTATACATCGCAATGAGTTCTCGTCATCTGACTGGCGACCGTTATACATGTACTTGTAATGGAACTTCTATCATGGAGCTATAAAACACACGAATGGAACTTCTGCGGTGTTGCCGGATACTGGTTGGGACGAACATCGGGAGGGGGTTGGGACGAACATGGAGGAATAAGGGACGAATAATCCAGTAACACGTGATCAACGTATTATGCACCAATTATAATTATGACGGGGATTTATTAAGGCTTTGTTTCACATAAAACTGTCTAAGATCGGCAGTATAGGCCTAGTACCTATTTGACTGTCACACTCGGAAGTCTTCTTCAATCAATCCTTTGTCCAATCGTCCCAGACAAGATTGGGTCTGCCAATAAGCCTCTGTACTGATGATGACACACTTTGTTTACGTGTGTGCTTTCCTATGGTGCTCAGTGGACTGATCCGTAGGCCCCCACCGGCTCCATAGGAGTGTGCACAGGTAAGCAAAGTTTGACGTTTATTAAGCGTAAAGCGGCGCCCCTTCGTTAGAGGTCGCCGACCAACAAGTGAATCAAATCGTCTGATTGATACCGTCACGTCTCCGCAGTAAGAATTGATGCAAGTCTATCATCTGCGTCAAAATGGTTGATCTTTATGGTGACAATATACCGGGCTTAATGTTGGATCGCATTAACGATCGCGACTATTAATATTCATGAAATCATTCAAATACTAGATCGGAGTAGACCGATTGCAATTAGCTGCCATCTTTGTGGTGTGTTATATTAATTCATTAACAATGAATCAACAATAGATCTACCCTTGCATCCCTTTTGAACAACAAAACTAGCACGCACCACACCATACCTCAATTTGTGCAAACGAGCTTTAGGCGAACATTCCTGCAGGTTGAGCAATTTGTTTGTTACCTTTCATGGGGAATATTGTAATCGTTATCTTTACACGCCTCTATTTTTTTTTACGAGTTCCGTTCAAAACTGACTTTTGCAGATGACTGTCCAGTACCAAAGTGACTTTTAAAGCAGGCTACATTTAAAGCAGTCTTTTTTTCTTCATGTTAACTCATGTTTGTTGTAATTTTGAAACGCATTTTCAAGGAAAATGTGACAATATCCTACCTTTTTTGCAGTCAAAGGACGTGAGACGTGCGCGTAGTTTTCACACAATGCATGAAGCTGGCGGTACGTTCCGTGCTTGTCCCTGGTCATGACACAATGAAAGCCCGATGCTGATTGGCTAATAAAGGAATTTAAAAACTTTTTTTATCAGCCAATCAGTATCGAAGTGTCGCAATCTTGGTTTTTGAGTGTTTTCTGGTTATCGTCGTCGTCTTTTTACCCCGTAATTTCCCTCATAAAAAGCCTTGCCCTCTTTCCACAAAATTAAATCTACTGAGATTCAAGAAGGTGTCATTACCAGCTGTTCAGAGGTGTCAAGAAATATCAGAAAGTCACTTTTGTGAGTGTCATATAGTCAGCTGTTTTGGTGAGTCTTAACCTAGTTATATAGGAACGGGGTCCTAAAGATAACGATTACCAATAATATCCTAAAGACATTGTCAAAACAACCGTCGTTTCCTCGGTAGTACAGTAGTTAGTATCTCCGACTGACACTTAGGAGACCGGGGTTCGATTCCCCGCCGAGGATCGGAGTCACGATGCGCGACTGGACAATTATTTTTTTAGCGCCACCTTTACTTATAATTTGCGCCCTCTATTGATTATATTAGTGGAAGCTCCTCCCCTTTTTGCCATATTATATGAATAATGTATATTTTTATAAAATTGACCAATCCATGTATTTTTCACGTAGAGGCCCGGTGCGTCGAATTGACACAGCCCTTTTGATTCGCTGAACTTTTATATGACGCAATAAATTTGCCGGGAAATATCCAGATTTGCAACGAAGCAAATACGTCATACTGTATCCGTGCGCGATCGCGCGCTTGCCGGCCGCCATGCATGTGTTGAACGCATGCACGTAGTGATGTCCGACACAAAACGGCGCATAAAATTACGGGGAAAAGCCCAAAACTCATGTAAGTATCCATGAAATTTTGTTGTTATTAAAATTCCCGTCTACCCTTCTACTGTTTGTTGTGAAAATAGGGTTCTTTATGCATGAATAATAATTAAAAAATGTATTGTAAATTGAAGAACATCCGACTCGAATACATGTGCACTTCTTCGTCATGTTCGGCCATACAAAGTCGCACGTGTGTTGTCAATGCAGTTCGTTGCTGTCAACATTCATACACACGTACACGGTCAACCAAACTGTTTTGTCTTTCAGTTTCACAGAAATTTAACGTTGATCATGTTGTTGTTGATGAAAACAGGATGAAAAACAAGTTTCTGATTTTTTTTTATGGAAGAATAATCAGACGATAACTTGTTGGTAGTTTTTTTGTAGTAGATTCGATCATCATGATCATTGTTATTTTTCCTCGTGTAGTTGGATCAGCTGTTGATCTTTTTTTGTACTTTCCATCGACAGCCATCATTGACACTCGCCACATCATGATCATGTCCGAATGTAAATAAAGCCCGATAAGTAGGATCAAAGTTTACTTGGACTTTGCTGCTCTACTCAATTCGTTTTTCTTATTTTTTAAAATAAATTTCTTAAGCATGTTAAGTTTCAGGTTTTCCATCAATTGTTCTTTATATTGAAGTAGATTTCATTGTCTTCTGACTTCTTTGAAATCAGTAGTTTTGGAGGATCAAAAAAAAAGGAAATAAAGTCCGAGAACCATTTGGTTGACAGTCTGGTTCCAATTACGGCCAAGATCGTGACGTTGAATTCTATTACATCAACTTAAAAGTTGCTTTACGGCTGTCGTAACGATAGCCACAGCATTGACATGATTGATTTGAGCTATTTTGATCCCGAATGCAATGTTTTTTTGAAGACTCAATTAAATTTTGTAAGGAGACTTTTCTTCAAAATTTTGTACATGAGAGGGAAGTCAAGTGATTTCAAAATGAGGCTAAAGACTAGACTGGTACATGAGAGTGACTCACAAGATCAGACAGCGTCGTCTTAATCTTGCTGGCCACTGTGTCCGCCACCCTGAGCTTGCTGCCCACCCAACCATACTGTGGGAGCCCACCCAGGGCACTGCCTTAAGAGGGAGAAGAAGTCTGACCTTTGTGGACCAGTTCAAGAGGGACACTGATCTCACATCTGCAGAGGAGCTTCGCACCTGCATGGTAGATCGAGACAGCTGGAGGAAGAGGACTCAGGGACTGGCTCGTGATGTCGTCACAACCCAGGCGACCCCGACATAATGATTATGACATGTCAACCATTTGGTCCACCTGTTTGAAAAAGACTGACCTCTTCATTCATTGTCATTAGTCTGGTGGCTGACTATGGAGAAATGTGTGGATATAGAGACTTGCACCAGACATGCCAGATGTTTCTTTTGGCACAGTTGATTGATTCATTCCCAAAGGGTTGTTGGACTGCTTGTTTCAGGTGCCAGTCTATTTTCTGGTATTGCATGTTTTCAATACCTTAAGTTTTGGGACTCTCATGATACACAGTATTTTTGAGAGTCCCAAATTTTCGGACTAGGACTACATGTTGCCGGCAATAAACCTTTTCATTTGTCATTAGAAAACACCTGGATTGTTTTAATGACTCCATGACTTTTTACACAACACCAAAATGGTGTCAGGCTACTACCTTCATGTAGCCCTAGTAATTTTAGTAGTACCGGTATAAACAGGGCTGTAAAGGCACCTTTTTATACATTGGTCTCATTAGTCACCAACAGCCCTGTTGCTATGGCCACTGTATACACAAGATGTCGCTCCATTGGCCATGTCAACAACTTTGATTCCAAATGTCTTCCAAAATACATATCACTGAACAGTTTTATATAGCCTACACCCAAGAACACAATTTTTGGGGGGCCAAAAACAAAACTGGTCCACAAAAAAGTGGGTGCAAAAATTAAAGGCATCTGGTTTGGGGCCCGCTTACATGTAAGTGCCCAGGAAAGTTTTTGGATTCTAAATGCTCTGTGGTGTGATCTGAGGCAATTATTTCTGACCACTTTAACTAATTTTTTTTTGGAAATGATGGTCGTGTATGCAGTGGCTGCCTTTTTTGCGACATCACTTAAAAAAAAAAAAGTGGATTCAAATGGGGGGGGGGGGGGGGGGAGGGGCATAGCCCCCTTCGGCCCCCCTCCCCCCTGGATCCGCCATTGCCTACACCATATTTCTGAGAGTTAGGGCATTCATAAAATATATAATAAAGCTTTCAAAACATGTAAATTGTCCATGTAGGCCTTTGGGTGGTGTCTTGAAAAAAAATGAAGAATATTCAAGCATGTTGTGACACGCTCATGGCCATCTTTGTTATGACCTGCGCCAGGTTGTATTAAACATGCCAGGTATATTAATATACGTGTGCATACATATATACCGAGGCTAGTCTGGTTCCCAGACCAAAAAATTGAGACTATTTCTGAAGTAAATAAATAGGATCATGCACCCTATGAAATAATGGCATCTGGTGTGGTGTCATTTTCAAGGAAAACTTGTGTAATTTTTGTATCAAATTCCAACGATGGTCAGCCGACCATCATCAGAAAAAAAGACTACTGCCCCCAATTTACAAACGTTTCGTCAGTTTACATTCTGTTTGCAATCAGTTACACATCTGTGAATGGGTGCAAGCGGGCTTGTGTGGTTCCCTGACCTGACAATTGCTTTGTATGAAGTAGGGCCAGGGAATTTTCTTGGTTTTTCCAGCATCTGTGAACACATAATTTAAACAGGTCAGTGTAACAATATTTGCTATTTAATACTAACCCCCAAATCCATCCATTTCTGAAAACTACAGCAAAAGCAGATGTTGTATACTACCTTTAAGTATGCTGAAAACATAAGGCCAAAAACATAATAGTTCTGCTTCCGGTTACCCTACCAGCCCTATTGTGACAGCAGTGCACAGCACCTACCATATTTTTTTGGGGGGGGGGGGGGGAACTGAGGGGAAATTCCCCCAAATCATCAATAACTAGTGACCTTTTACCCTTTACTCCACACAGACACCTCCATATGATGGTACACACACAAAATTGTTCAAAAAAGTTTCCCTATCGTAATTTTTACCTACCCTATTTTGAAATGCCATGTAATCGGAAGCAGAAGTATTTGTTTTGGCCTAAATTTAGGCATGTACATGTTTAGAAAACTTGCACTATACCATGGCACGAATGACAGTACATATGTAGCATCTGAATGCTATAGCTTCTGTTAGCATGCAAAACACAACAAGCTCATGGATTTTTCAATTTTGTAGCTTGATCAGCAAACCAACTTGAACAAAGAAACCAAACAACACAAAAAATGGAAATTGAACACTCTGATGCAGCAATTACGTCAAAAATTATGGTATTATGTAGTTGGCATTCATGTATTGTCTGGAAATAAAAATGAAAATTAAGCAGAAAATAAAGGGAAATTGGGAAAATGTTGAATTCGTGCCAATTGTCCACATGCCTCCGAGTCATATCTTAAAAAAAAATTTCAAAGATAAAATCGAAACAAGTTAGCAATCATTTATCATCTCTAGATAAACGTCGAACCGAATATCTGGGAACAGTGTGTACAAGATAATTTTTTTTTGCTGTGGCCAACACAATGCCTGTCTGCACATGTACATGGACCATTGTACTGTAGCGCAGCGAGACAAAGCATTGTTATGCGGGACAGTGACCCAGCAGGCACGAACTTGGCATTAAACTTTGGACTAGACCTCCCCAGTGTTTGCTTAATACAATTTGCCAGTACAGGGCATACCTCCAGCACATTGTAGTCTTACCATAGAATAAGGACCTACGAATGCGTACGTGCCCGAGTACAATGAACCAGGATGTGCGACCCCTGATTGACCTATGTTTGTCATGTATTTTCTTCAGTGGGTGTTTTGGCGCGTTCGATCCCCACAGCGGTTCCACACAGTGTGTGGTATGCCTGTGTATTATTGGTAACAAGCGGCCACAGAAACCGAGCAGGTGGATCAGCCAATGTTTATAAAATTCTCAGATATTTTCTTGGAAAAAAAAATAAAATCAAATTAATGTTTGTTAACTTTCAGTTTGGTCGTTGATAACGTGTGATGGCCGCAAATGTTTTTAGTTGTTAGTTTTAGTTAATTATATATTTTTTATCTTAATTCTTTCTTTGTTTATTGTTTTTTTTTTGTTCGCCTGTGTTACTAATATTATGCACCGGTACCAAACAACATGAACACTAACAAAGGCCATTCTGAAGACTGTAAAAATATTTCTGTGATGATGGTTTTAATATTATAACACTCAATGTTCTATACCATATCCAAGGTGACCGTTTTAGCTGATTTTCGTCTAACTTTGACAGATATTTTGTTACAAAACGAATTTGACAGAAAATTTGACAGAAATTTTTTTGGGCAGATTTCTGGCAGAATTCTGTAAAAATGGTTATTTGACAGAAAAAAACATACCAAATTTGAAGAAAATGGTACATTTGCTTAGAAAAGCTTCAATCTTTTCAAACAAACCCTTGCATAATGGGACAGGTTGGCTGGTTATAGGACTTTGTTGTGACGCAACCGCGTTTTGCCTGAAATTTTCGCAATAATTTCATAACATCTCTATGTGACTATAGATTGTTCATAATGTAATTTGAACCTTAATTAAGGCAATACTACAAATCTGCATGTAATTTTAAATGTTTATAGTGTATTTTGAGTAATTATGGGGAATTTGGCAGATTTTTGATAAATCTGACAGATTTTTAAAGTGAATTTAGCAGAATTTGGCCAAAACCTTACGGTCACCCTGACCATCCCAGCAATCCATGCCATTTCCAAGTACATGTATTGATACCTCCTTAAGATCACCTGCCTGGCCAATCATCTTGGATTGACCTGTGCTCCAAGGACTGTCTACAGTACCTGTACTTCTTGCAGCTGGCCTCTGAAGTGACCCTAAAACAACAGTCATGTTTGTTGTCAAAATATTAATCATCAGAAATATGTTGACTGCGGAGGTGAAGGTCGATTATAGTTGACCATGTTTGTGTGTACGTGCACCACGTGATGTTTATGGGTTACTTACCAGTGAGAGGTAACCAATAAATTTTAACTTCAAAAGGTCACAATTGCTTACTTTTTGCTTCTGATTAATTTTTTTTTGGGGGGGGGGTGTTAGGCTCTTACAACTGACTTGTTGAGTTCACATTGGTGTGTCTAATGATTCATTCATTGTCGTGTGAGGTCACTACAAAGCTTGACCTGCAAAATGATAACACATATCTTTGCACTAGATTGATTTGAATTTGCATTTCAGCCATCGTCACTAGTCAAATGTGCCACAGTCGGTCACAATCTCTCTCTATCTTGCTTAAAAGCAACAAGGGAGATCTCTTTCTGTGTAAGCTCAAATTCATGCCATAAAAGCCAGGCAATATGATTTTATTTACGACCTTTTTTTTCGTTTTTCATGTGTAGCATCCCAGGAGATGAGCTCATTAAATTTAGTAAATCTTTTCAAAATATTTTCCGCAGATCTTGACCTTGTCACGATGGACCACAGTTAACCCCTGCTACCCCTGAGCGCTGCCTCTCAGCTTCCACGCATCCGACAATCGTCTGACCGAACACACCGAGCTTTTGAAGTCGCTAATTGGTACCCTGTTGTCACGAAACCACCGGTCTCCAGCCATGCTGTCTGCTAATAATAACAACTTTACCAGTGAGTATGCGCTCCTATAGCAAAAATTTGTTTTTGTATTGTTTTATACATTTATGCAAACAATTTTGTTCACTCCTTTGACAAAGGCGCACATTTTTGGAACCTTTCCTGAAAACATGGTTGTCCTGTTTTTTTTTTAATTTGTATTTTGATTTGAGCTTAAAGTAATCATGATTTTGATCTGCAGATTTTAATACTGAGAATTCATAGATCTTATTGTACTAAACACATTTTTTAAAGTTTCTTCATACTAAAGACTTCTTCACTGTCCAAAATCTCAGAGCAATATCAATGTTGAATCCGATGTTCATGATTAAATCATTCGAGTGTGAGAAAAACTCCAGATTGTTAATATTATTGACCTCTTTACACACAGCAAACATGTGGCCCTGCAGTTAGCACAGATTATTGGAGGATTGTTTTTTTTAATTGGATTTTTGGCTCTTGTTCAAAGGTTGATGAAATGGGAACACTTGTTAAATTGAATATTGCGCATTTTATGCATTACATGTACAACATGTACATGTGTGTTCAGAATAGTGCGTGTCACACATTTTCTTCTTCCCAACCAGCCAAATCCCAAACAGATATTGTTAGGCGTTCTGGCAAAATGTGACAGAACTAGGCAGAGGTCGGACTGTTGGGTTTGTGCGGGTATTAGGAAAGAGAATAAAATTTTCCTTACAATACTGTACGATTCCATTCTCGTTGCATTCTGATCAGAATGGCACCAAACTACTGCAATTTGTTGCATCGATATCACCGTCTGATAATTTTAGCGCTGCTTATTTCTATTTACGCAATCAAAATAATCAAAACCTGCACCATAAAATTATCATATTTTCCTTTTAATTAAAAGGAAACAATATTATGAGGCTGACACATCCGACTTAAAGGGAGTGTACATCATTGGCTTTTGCTGTAATTTTCATAAATGAACTATTTTAGGGGTTAGTATAATAGATCAAATATTGTTACACTGACATTTTGTAAAGTTTTGTGTTCGAAAAGGTTGGAAAAACCAAGAAAAACAAAAATGTTCAAGTAGTCTGGTTCCGTGACTCCACAAAAGATAAAATGGATCAATTTATAGATGATGGAAAATTGTAAGACAAGGGAACCAGTCTAGCTGGCCTGCACCCAATCATGAACATGTAACCAATAGCAAACAAATTTGGACTGAAAAAAAATAGTAAATTTTGGAGCAGAAGTTGAAAAATAGTTAGGTTTTTCCAACGCTGGTTGGCCGACCACCGTTGAAAATGTATAAAAAAAATACCATTTTCTTGAAAATGACTTCACACCAGGTGCCATAATTTTACAAGATGCTTGAGACTGTCATTTACCAACATCCTAGTAAGGTATTTCGCAAAAACTTGTTATATTTTACGATGTTTGCAAATGTTGTATATTCCCTTTGAATGGAAGTTGCGTACATGCACCGTTACAAGTTTGCAATCATACAGCGGACACACAATCCGTGTTCAGTTAGTGTGTACATGTACCTGGTCATTTGAGAGAACGAATTGAGTTTGCTGTCCATTTCGTCATCCACTGGATGTGCTTGTTTACTCAGATGGGCCAAATAGGTTATCAGCCTGCATTCCAATAATTGCATCATAGCTACATGTAGCACTTACGGTACTTGGAGATTACCACGACTACGTGTATCAACAAAACCATCTAGGGCAGCGTTTATGCCCAACTTTTGCATTCATATGGTCTAAGGTCTTATTAGGTTTGATATCTTCTGTCCCTGGCCAATCTATTGTTAGGGGTCCGAAAAAATCAATACCTTTGTCAACAAGCAACAATACTTTCTGCACCCCTTGCTGGGGCACTAATCAACACTGGGTCCTCATCAAACGACCAGGCAGTGAGTGCCTGGCCAGCATGTGAAGGGTTCATTCAAAAGAAACCACAAGTGTTTCTTTGCTTGAGGGTTTTTAACTTTAGGGAAATAACTTTGGGGGAGAAAAGCATTTCATATTACCAGACAAGACACGTCTTCCAATGCCTTAGTTTAAAGGGAATATACATCATTTGCTTTTGCTGTAATTTTCAGAAATGGATGGAATTGGGGGGTTGGAAATATATAGCAAATATAGTTACACTGACTTTTTTGAGGTTTTGGGTTCGAAAATGCTATAAAAACCAAGAAAAACAATCATTTTCCTGTAGTCTGGTTCCCTGACTCCATTTAAGAAGAAACAGAGCAGTTTACATACATTGGGGAATTGTAAGGTCAGGGAACCAGTCTAGCTGGCTCGTACCCGTTCATAGGTGTGTAATCGATTGCAAACAAGTGCGCGATGGTCAATTGGGGCCAGTATTTGAAAAAAAGCCAGTTTTTTCCAACGCTGATCGGCCGATCAGCGTTGGAAATTGATACGAAAATACCACTTTTCTTGAAAATGACAGTATACCAGGTGCCATAATTTTACAGGATGCTTTACACTGTCATTCACTAACAGTCCAGCAAGGTATTTCAAAATGATTTGGTAGTTTTATTTTTTGATGTTTGCAAATGTTGTATTTTCCCTTTAACTTTAGGAAAATAACTTTGGGGGAGAAAAGCATTTCATATTACCAGACAAGCCACGTCTTCCAATGCCTTAGTTTAATATTTGGGATCTCTCCTATTTTGTTTTGCCAAAAAAAAAAAAAAGAAAGAGCACTGAGGCTTAAAGCTGTTTTGAAAATTGTCAGTAGCAACTCTCAACAAGGCCAGTCACAATTCAGCATTAGCATAGTTTTAACAACTGTTGCTCAGCTTGCAAGCTATATCTGGGAAAACTTTGCTGACGTTCTTTTCGTGTTTTCACTTGTTGGAACTCGGAATTTTTGATAATTTCAAAAGTGTTTTTGGAGTATGATGTAAATTTCTTCAGTAGGAAAAACATTGTTTAGTTTTGCACGATCCTCAAAATATCTGCATCAAATGACAGATACATGTACATGTACACTGTACACATTATTTCTGCTTTGTTCCTGTTTGAAGAGTTATTTGCTGTCATTCCGGGAGAGGTGTAAACGACTCCATGTTTTGATACATTTGTACATTTCCTTCAGAGAGAGAAAAAAAATATGTGTAGTGTTCTTGTGTTATTTCATTTCATTATGCACAGTGTCAATTTACATGCTGAACTCGGCCTGGTTTTCGGCTGGTCGCAGACAACTTACACAACTATAATTTGTTTGATCTGCCCCATTAAATTTTCCAAATTGTTTCAAAACCTGTCTGGCTGTCCAGAAAACCCCTCACTCACAGCCTAAAGTACAAAATGTCAGTTTCGTCCTTGAAGCATTAGGAACAGACAAATTGAACCCTGGTTTTTTATGGTCTGTTGAACATTAGACCGTTTTGTTGTTCTTTTATTCTTTGGCAATTGCTCGCTCCGTGGGAGAGGGGGTTATTGTCTGGTCAGCACTGGTACTGGCATTGTCCGCTGTTCATCAGCATAGATTCGATCGTTTTTGTGATGCCCAGTTGTTCAAATCCTTGAGCATCTAGTCCCTGTTAAGCCATTGTGCGGTCCTAGCCAGGGCTTTTCTCAGTCATATCAGCTTGGCCAGATTTCCCAAAATTGATTTATTTTTTTTAATAAAAGGAATAAATGTGTGCTTGGCCGGTTTAAACACTCTGTTTAAGATTGGTTGGAGTCTGGATGTTGATAATTGCCCGAGCCGAAGGAAAAGTGTTTAAGACCAGCCAGCCGGTCTTTATTAACTGTTTAAAACCGGCCACGTGACGGGCTCTCGACCAATAGGAATGGGTGTCTTAGGTATTTATGAATGGATGACAGAAGTTATGAAGCTTGTCAAAATGAAACAAATAACGAAACAACCAAGATGAAAGCACAAATTAGGAAACAAAGTGGGAAATTTAAATTTTCCAATTCCCACTGTCTGTATGTGTGATTTGACACATAGGAAGTTATTTGGGGCAGGCCCGTAGGAAGCTATCAATATTTGGTCAGGCTCATCTCAGGGCAGGGAGCTGCTCCATGGTTGATGCGAGCGCGCAGCGCGAAGCCCTAACGACGTGGGGTTCAGGGCCCGCTTAAGGGCCCCGAAAAGAATTTGGATTCTAGACGCTCTGTGGTGCGATCTGAGGCAATTTCTGACCACTTTAACCTTTTTTGAGCTATCATCATTTAAACATCATTTTCAAGTTTGGAGTCAATTATCTTTTAAAAAAAATTTAGCGTGAGAAATCCCATGTCGGCGTTAAAGCATGAGAATAACCTGAAATGTGTGTGTCTTACGCTCAATGCGTGAGAGTTGGCTGCAGCCTGCCAACTCCAATGGCAGGCCTGCAGAGGCGGATCCAGGTTTTGACCCAACCCCTCCCAAATTAAATGTAACCAAAAGCCACCCCCCTTCCCAACACTATCAATATTTGTACAGAAATACATGTGCATGTATATTGGGAATTTTATTCTTCGTAATTTCACCAATTTGTACAAGACACATTTTGGAACACTGCACAACTGCAAGTTTAACCAGTAAATGTCACTTTATGAACTTTACATAAATCGTCAAAATTAAATCGTCAAAATTTGGCCTATCGTAGAGAAAATGTTTGGACATTTGCTGCTCGCAAAACTTTTTTGGATCTAGATGCTCTGTAGTGCAATCTGAGGCATTTCCTGGCCACTTTCCCCTGACTTTTTGAATGAAATGTATTCCGTGTTTTAGTGGGTGGGTCATCAAATTTGATAAATCACATCACAAGCATCACATCAAAACTGTAGCTTGACTCTCTTTCTAGATGCCGCCATGCACAACATGTTAAGTTAAATGGAATTTAACCATGAATTTTAGTTTTCCTCAGACTCGTACTTGTGTTTTCTTAAAAAGAAGTGGTTTTTCTATAGCTGAGAAAATAGCAAGGAAGAACCGGTTTTGTGCAAGCAAAATTCAGGGAATAATCCGTTGATATTAAATATCTTGTTGGAAAATTCCAAAATCATTTCAAGAAAGTTGCCGCCGTGAAT